CAAAAATTCGTTACTATTACAACCCATAAAGGTTTATTTTCTTATACTCGCTTACCATATGGAATAACATGTGCTCCTGTTATTTTTCAAAATATAATGGAACATATGTTAAATAAGCCTAGCATAGTATGCTTTCTTGATGATATTTCAATCACTCGCAAAAATGACCAAGAGCACTCAGTGCGTTCATCATCCGTATTCAGAATTTTACAAAATTCCGATCCTAAAGTAAAAAAGAAAAAAATGTTCAATTTTAAAAAGTTCTATTAACAATTTAGGACACGTTATTGATAGGGATGGGTTACACAATTCCAAAGACCGAGTTCGGGCAGTACAGAGGCAGCTGTTCCATCCACGGTAACGGAACTGAAATTATTTTTGAGTGCGATTAATTTTTACTGTAAATTCTTACCAAAAATCTTGCAAGTCTTGGAGCCTCTGTATAGATTACTAAAAAAGATACTAAATGGCTATGGTTCTGGTAAGTTTTGAAAAAGCAAAAAAATTGCTACCTACTCTCAAATTCGGTTCTCACGCATTTTGATCCCAACAAAAAAATCAAACTCAGCGTCGATGCCTCTCAGTTTGCATTAGGGGCTACCATTTCAATATCTTTAGAAACAATACTGCCAATAGCTTTTGCTTCCAGACTCCTAAATTCATCTGAAATTAAATACTCCCAAATCGAAAAGGAGGCGGCAGCTATCATCTTTGGAATTGAAAAAGTGTATAGTAAATAGGCTATAGGCATTCTAAAAGTTTTCTTATGGAGATTAACATGGGAAAACGGCTAAGGTTCATTCTGCAATTTTTGGTTCCTTTCAAGGTCACGCGTACGCCAGAGTCCAATCAGAGCGCTCCAAATTGTCACGTGACCCAAATGCATCGTCGCGAGTACACCACACTGGCGCTACCTATGAGTCACTAGCTGAACTATCTATCGGTTGAAGAAGAACACTGTAAACACTAGACATATGGGTGTTGTCATGCGACGCAGTATGCGCAGTTGCCGGTTTTATGAGGTCTGTCAATACGGATCGGTGTCTGTGCAACTGTCAAATGTCAATGAGGGTGCAGGACGGTGTCTGTGAGGGGGAAACGTGTGACGTCATCGACGCAGGATGGAACGAGTATAGTAGCGATTTAAGCGTAGAANTCTATCGTTTTGTCGTGCGATTCTTCAATATATACAGGATGTCTCACCCAAGAAAAAACATGACAGTTTAACGGGGCTCTATTGCTTCAGCATGCGATTCTTCGATGTCTACAGGGTGTCTCAAAATACGTCATTTAAGGAACAGGACAGTTTAACGGGGTTCTATGGTTTTGTCGTGAGATTCTTCAATATGTACAGGATGTCTCATTCAAGAAAAAGCATGACAGTTTAACGGGGCTCTATCGTTTCAGCATGCGATTCTTCAATGTGTACAGGATGTCTCTTTCAAGAAAAAGCATGAAAGTTTAACGGGGCTCTATCGTTTCAGCATGCGATTCTTCAATGTGTACAGGATGTCTCATTCAAGAAAAAACATGACAGTCCAACAGGGCTCTATCGTTTTAGCATGCGATTCTTCAATGTGTACAGGATGCCCCAAAATACGTCATTTGAGGAACAGGACAGTTTGACGAGGCTCTGTCGTTTTGACGTGTGATTCTTTAATGTGTACGGGGTGTCTTATTCAAGAAAAACATGGCAGTTCAGCGGGGCTTTATTGTTTCACCGTGTGATTCTTCAGTGTGTACAGGATGTCTCAAATATGTCATTTGAGAAAACATGGCAGTTCAACGGGGTGCTATCGTTTTGACGTGCGATTCTTCAGTGTGTACAGGGTGTCTCAAATATGTCATTTGAGAAAACATTACATTTTGGCTCAAAATCCAATGCTTTTTTTATGGAGCTTAAGTTTAGTCATTTTCAGACCTCGTAGCGAAACCTTGTGGAATACCCAACTCGAGGTAGATGTGACGTGTGTGATAGTTATACGATGCAATATATATGTTTATATGAGGAAGAAGTGTATATGAAGTCAGCGTGGAGTAGAGAAAAAACAAAGATTGCAGTCGAAAGGGCACTAAACCACATTTTCGTTATTAATAATAGTCGGATCATCACGCATGGTACGCCAAATGAAAGGAGAAGAAATGTAGAATTTATCGACAGAGAAAAAACAAAGATTGCGGTCAGAAGGGCACTAAGCCACATTTTCGTTAACCAAGTTAGCATCATCAGGAAGAGTCAACCAGATAAAGGTGAACATAATAGAAAAATTCATATAGGGTGTCGTTTGAGAAGGAAATGTGGTTTCGAGGTAACGAGGTAACGAGAATCTAGGAGGATATAATGCGATAAAATGTTCAGTTTTGTCTCGAAAAACGCATTGAAAATTTTGCAAAATTTCAGTGCGTTGAAATAGCCAGTTTTATCATTTTAATCGCATCGAAAAAAATGCATTTTCAAAACCCTCATTTCTTCTAAAAGCCCATATGATTTGCATTGTATCGCGCCACGTAAAATGAGGTAGAAATAACATGAGAATCGCTTTAAAAAAATGTCCAAAATTTAGCGCGATAAAACGTTGATTTATGCCGCGATTATCACATAAAATATTTCGCGAAATTTCAATGCGTTGAAACAATCAATTCAGGCACTCTAATCGCTTCGAAAAAACGTTATTTTTGCCACACATTTTTCAAACAAATAACGCATGACAGAAAGATTGAAAATCGTTGATGGTATAAACTAGAACCGATTTTTCGGTTCCAATCAATTTTCGTCTGAAAATACAGACTATCAGCCAATAATATTCATCTCAAAATTACTATGAAAATTTAGTATTCGAAATAGCGAAATCATTTCCTTCAAAGCATTATTTAGGATGTTTCGCTAATCAAAATTTTATACACATCAACTGCTTTCAAAAAACGCATTTTTTATTGTTACATATTTTAAAAAAATAGAAATATCGTCGTAACAGAAAGGCAGTAAATTGTTTGTAAGAAAGAGAAGAGGTTGTTATGATATAGAGCAAGAAATTTATGTCAGGTTCATTGTGTGAAGAAGATATATGACAACGGTGCATATGTTTCAGAGCACTTCATGCCATGTTTTATGAAACAGAGCGTCTTAGATTAAGGAAAATTTCGATTGATGATTTTTACAGAAGAAACGTATACAAGGCGTATCAAAATACTTTTGTGACAATACCTGCATAATACACATACCGATACCAATGCATAATACGCGTAAACATCATGATATACAGCAAGGAATTCATGTCAAGTTCATTGTGTGAAGAAGGTATATGACAACTGTTGAAGTTGACCGAGTATAAGAAATTCTGTACATTCCTCCAAAATGACAATTTGCAAAGTCCGTTTCCACATCACCCAGGAGGTAGGACTGCGCATGCGTTATCTTTTTTTTATTGTGGAAGTTTCCCCAGTAGGCATATCATAACCACAAAAAAGTGTCTTTGAAGTTACTGCTTGTACACTAATACTTAAATTTTGTCATCGTAGGGGGAGTGTTCAGAAATACCTAATATCGAATTTACATCATGGCCAATGAGATTGAAAAAAGTTTTACATGCAGGCGTTTCCAGCATTTGAGAAGTAATAATTTTTTAAGAGATTTATCATTGCGGGAGTGAGCAGAAATAGTCAATATCAAATCATACATTTTATTTTAATGAATTTACAAAGTTATGATATATCCATTTCTTCGGCTATGCAATAATGCCCCCATGGTAAAGTTTCATCAGAATCGGGTATTAGATATCTTTTATCATCTTCAGGGGAAAGGGCGATCTTCTCCTGGACGATGGAGTGCACTTGATATTTATCAGAGCGAATTAGTCTCTGAGTGACACTCATACATTTCCAATTGTTGAGACATTCTTCATAATCATCAAATGTGATTGTGGTTTTCACAACCGATGTTTTAACTCCCTTCGCTTTCTTGGTGCTCCCCAAATTCTTCAATTCCATCGCAATTTCATCTTCATCATATCCCTCATTCAGCAATTTTTTTCTTTCCTTCTCATAATCACCCTCAGTTATTAGTACCTTCGTTGCATATAATTTAGAACGAAGTCCAACATAGTCCGTCATCGGTACGCCATTGTTCTCGTCCTTCATCATACCCAGCACTTTTTTATTCACCAAAGGAACGTTGAACTGATTGTTGGATGGATAATCCGAAGTATCGAAGCGTTGATGACAGTCTCGCTTCATTATCTCGTAGGGGTCTTGTCGCAGCTCGTATATGAGAGAATCGGTGTCGGTATACATAACGGTACAGCCGTCTCCGAAACGCTCCATCATATATCCATAGTGGAAGTCATAGATTGTTGTCTTAGCCAAATCCAAAATAGCCTGTCCTACATATATAGGCTTGTTTAGGAAAATTTGCAGCTTATTAAGCTCAACAGCCACCAAGTTTTCATTGAATATGGTGCAAGATTTGAACTCAGGCTTAGCAATGTAGGCTCCTGCTCCATATCTACCACTCCATTCGGTGAGAAGTCTGATGTTAACCCTTTTCCGAACGTTCTCCATAGTTTTACCGAAGACTGCATTGTTCATTAACTTGTATAAATTTTTTTCAAACTCGTTTGATGCCTTTGCGCGTAACTCTGTATTTAAATCGATATAGGACTTCAACCATGGACTTTGTTTAAATTTCAACACTCGATGGATTTTCTTCAATATCAATCCATGAGCTAAAGCTTGCTTCAATGCTCTGTAATGTATGATATATTTCTCCTTCGGTTGTAAAGTAGCCATCAACTTTGAAAGCTGTTTAGCTTTTACTGGAGGTTTTCTCGTCTTAGGACATATATGTTCCGGGCAAAATGGTAGACCTTTATGTTTGTCATGCAAATGCTGGGGATATTCCAACTCCACTTCCAGAATGTATCCTTTATCGGCATCATCAGGAATTTGAGTGATATCTATGTTGGAATCTGTCCACTCAAAGCCTCCATATGGAAGATATTGGCTCATTGCCCACACATACTGATTGTTGACATCATAGTAGTTGTTGGTTTGGAAGGATCGTAATTGTTGATGTACTTGTTATTTGCATGCGACCTCCTTTTTGAGCAAACTTGGCTGAGCCCACCTCGTATTCCACGCTCAACAAAGAGGAACATATCAACATCGGTGAGAAGTTCTAACTTAATCCCTGTATACTTCAGCATAGCATCCCACGTGTAGCCGGGTAACGTGAAATAATGTGTAGGATCGAGTTTATGTGAGTTGAGGATGCAGGTTCTGAACATTTCAAAGACATCAGCTAGCAGGAGAATATCAGTCTTCATATATAAGTCCACATAATCACCCAGATTCTGGCAGTTGAAGGTGGTCCATACATCCTGAGCTCGTTGATAAAAACGTCTGGGGCAGAGCTTATTTTCCAGTTTATTATAAAACTTATCCTGAGATGGTAAAGCTGGTTCATCGAATAGACTAAATGAATCTATATAATCATATGGCATAACTCCTTTCTTCCTTAAAAGTTTGAAGTGTTGCATAGGCACATCGGCAAACTGCGACTTTAGATTGGGGAACTCTGGAAGATACGATGTTAGTTTATCTAATGAAGAAGCCATGAAACGGATCGAGTCGATGAATCTGAATTGAATTGGTGCATCATCAACGTGTTTTGTGAAGGAAATATACTTTTCTTTGGTTATTGGGAGTAGATCAACCTTTCCAGCCATTCTTGTAGCGATGTCTCCAACGATGAAGTGTGCGTCATATCCACTGAAGTTATGAAAAACAACAGGAATAGAATGAGAGTCCTTATAGTTTATATTACACCCTTCATGCGCGGGGCCACGATAATTATCACATGGTATGAGATGGTTATGATCGCATATGTTTTTATCTTCGGGAGTGAAGGGCTTTCCGCAGATGTGGCAGTGTGTAGCTCTTCGAAACTCAACTTCTTGCTCTACAGTCATATCGATGTCGAATGGACACCAAAACACTGTAGTCATATCTTCAGCTAGTTGACTCAACTCATCAGCGAACCATTGCATACAATCCTCCCCACGATATGCCTTATAGAAGGATAGAGTGTCATCGTATGAGCACTTCAAGTAGTAACCCACAGCTGCCGGAATATGATGTTGAATTTTTTTAGGATCATCAGTAGGCTTCAGAATGGATTCCAAGTCGGCGTATACGACGAATGGAGCCCTTTCTTTGTTTTTGAAATTTTTAAATTTCAAAATATCTTTTCCAGGCTCTGGCATCTTTATAGCTGCTTCTTTCATTTTCGCACAATCCTCAGTATGTTTCTGTAATTCTGTACAAAAGTACTTTTGACCATGTTCCTTACTCAACTGTTTCGATAAGAGCCTTGATAAGTTCTTTATCCATACGTAGTGATAGCGGACTGCAGTTTCAGATTCATCATAATTGTCAGTAATCAGCAGTAAGTTCACATGTCTATCTTTCTTTGCCATTGTGAGATATGTAGGTAAGGTAATGAATGTTTTGCATTTCATTTGAAGGATGTAAACATTGATGGAAACGTTATTTTGCTTCTCAAAGTTGGGGATCTGCTGCAAAGTCATAGGGAACTGGATACCTTTCAGCTTCAATACCGTTGAATAGTGGGGATAAGATGAAGTACGATCAGCATTTTTCTGCACAGGATACAGAACAGAAACAACAGCCCAGGCGAATCAAGCTTGGTCATCATTTTTAACATTGATACATGCATGCTTCTTTAGGATCTGAGGTGTCAACTCAATATATGATGATCCCAGTTGAGGGGTAAACTTGTTGATGTTAACCCCCAGATTAACAACTTTTTTCAACGCCCAGCCGCTGTCCCTTTCTTGAAACTCCTCTAGCTCTCTGAGTATTGGTGTTGTAACTTTTTCATTGAACCAATCGTTGAGGAAGGTGTCTCTATATATGGGAGAGTTCATAGTAGTGAAGTACTTGTACTCCTTCAGTACTCTGTCTCCCTTCACTATCTCAAATTCTCCGCAGAAGGTGGTATTTACCTTGATAGATTCATCCTTCTTCAGAGCATTCTGAATTCTCCGCTTGAAAAGAGCCTTGCAGTCATCCATAAAAGCTGAGGGATCTTTATGTTTGAGATTGGAAATAAAACTAGATCTGATTCTAGAGTTGAATGCTGACTCGGAATCATCCCAATGAACCCGCTCTCTAGCACCCTCAGGTCGAGGTGTCTGCCCTGCCCCCTTTTTCTGCATAGCTTTGAATTCAGTACGCATTGTCGTAATGTTCCTCAAACACGCTTCTAAATGTTGCTTCTCCCCCACAGAAGTTGCATTCTTCATCGCTTTGCGAGTCCTTCTCATACCCTTGATACACTCCTGAAGACCCTCTTGAGCAATTTCATCATCATAATTTGGGGTATATTAGAGTTTTTTTTCAATAACTTGACAAAAATTTTAATATCATTCCTATGAAATTACACCCTAAGAATATAAACCTGTAGATGAGGAGATTCATTGAACCAATGCCTTTGCAGAATGATAATTATGATTGAAAATTAATATTTTCGCATTTTTTATGTTACTCCCTCTTCAGTGGGCTATGAGATATAATAATTGACTTGAATTTATATGGTGATGTAATTCAATGCTCATAAGTGGGAGTGGTTTTCTCCTAACGATATTCAGACTTTGTCGAGATTAAACGGCCAATGACTACCCTCAACGAGCGCGGTATATTTTGGTGTTGCGCAGTTACGCTTTGCGCTTGGTTGGCGTACTATGTATCAGTTTCGCTAAGCGCAGTTGGTCAAGTATGTGGCGGTTAAGCATATATAGACTTGTTCAATGAAAATAATTTAGTTGCAGTCAATATGTCAGATAACACGACATTCAATAAATGCGCGGCGAAGGAACCAGTTCCCCAACAAAAGGGGATTTCAGAACACCAAAGAACGATCGAATCTGAAATATATGGGCTTGTAGCGTTTATAAAAACCTACTGTACTTTTCATTTGATTTTCATTTCACCGGAGGTAATCCTAATTGATTTTAAAGAAAGTTTCTGAGGAGTA